TTACCTGAGTAAAATCTCTGGTCTTATCCAGGTAAAATCCCTGGTTTTATCCAGGTAAAATCCCTGGATTTATCCAGATAAAACCCTTGGTATGACCCAGGTAAAGCCCTTGGACTTACCCAGGTAAATCTCCTGACTTTGCCAAATTCAATCCTTGACTGTATCCACGTAAAATCCTTGCCATTACACAGGTAAAATCCCTAGGTTTATCCAGGTGAAACTCTTGGTCTTTTCCATGTAAAATCCCTGGGTTTGCCCAGGTAAAATCCCTGTCATTACCCAGGTAAAATTCCTGGATTTATCCAGGTAAAACCTTTGGATTTACCTGAGTAAAATCCCTGGCCTTATCCAGGTAAAATCCCTGGCCTTATCCAGGTAAAATGCCTGGATTTATCCAGATAAAACCCTTGGTATGACCCAGGTAAATCTCCTGATTTTGCCAAGTTAAATCCCTGACTGTATCCATGTAAAATGCCTGGGTTTGTCCAGGTAAAATCCCTGTCATTACCCAGGTAAAATTCCTGGATTTATCCAGGTAAAACCTTTGGATTTACATGAGTAAAATCCCTGGTCTTACCCAGGTAAAACCCTTGGTCTTCTCCCACATAAAACCCCTGGCCTTATCCATGTAAAATCCTTGGCCTTACCCAGGTAAAGTCCCTGGATTTGTCCAGGTAAACCCTTGATCTTTTTCCATGTAAAATCCCTGGCTGTATCCAGGTTAAAACCTGTGGTAAAATCCTGGTTTTTAGGGAAAACCCCTGGATTTAGCCAGGTAAACCCCTGGATACACCCAGGATTTCCCAGGTAACCCCCACACGCTCAGTTTCTGCTCTGTAAATCACATCCCCCCCAAATTCTCTCTTTCACACGAGTTATGCCCCAAATTATAGAATTTAAACTCAATTTAGTTTCATTGCTCTGAGCAAAACAACTTCCAGCTTCAGCTCATAAATGACATTTTTACCAAGGATTTTACCTGGGCAAGACCAAAGATTTTACCTG